AAGCATTACATAAAAGACGAAAAATATAGATTGGACAATCGGAGAGAGGATAAGAAGAACACTACATAAAATTCAAAAATTAAATATAGAATATTTTACTGCAAAATTTTGTTTCCTGTACTACTAGTCAGTTTAAAAGCATTACATAAAAGACGAAAAATAGATTGGACAATCGGAGAGGGGATAAGAAGAACACTACATAAAATTCAAAAATTAAATATAGAATATAGTAGTGTTAATAATATCTAAGAGTCCATAACCTTTGAGATTATGTGTTTGACTTTGATATATGATGGATTTTTTCAGATCTTTTTAAAGATTTTGTATTATAACTAAATCTAAATATTTATGTTGTGTATAATTTGTACACTTTTATATATATTTATTTAGGATTTATACACTATACTTATACACTTCTCATTTAAAATGAAAAAAAATAAATATAGTCCAATAATAGTTTTGTGATTTATCACAAAAAAAAAAAATAAAAAATAAAGGAAAGAGAATCCTAACAAATGCAAAATCTATGTCCCAACCCAAGTGCCCGCATAAGTATCGCGCCTGCTATTTCAATTATGTATTCTGAAAACATTTTTTTTCCATTTTTGAAAACAATTTCTTCAATTTTTTAACTTTAAAAATAATCCCCAATCAGATCCACACGGTTTCTTCACCCACCAGACAAGAAATTTGAGTTCTAATAGTAAACCTTAAAGCGACAACAACGAAATTTAAAAGCCTGAACCGAAGATGCACTGTCTTGCTACAAGTGGTTACTGTATTTTTTCTGTGTGAAAAGTAAAGTGAAACACAATATATAATTATCAAATTGGTTTTTAATTACCAGCGATAGAGTTGGATCAAGTGGCAAATAGCTTGTTTTCGCTTAAGGTCTCAAGTTTAAGAATTTGTGTATGCAGTAACCTCGTTGAGAGATTCACTCACCATATCCAAGGTGCGTGATGCCATATCCAGGTGCGTGATGTGGGTAGGATTCAGATTAATCCAGATAAAACCCGGATACCGGTGGGAAACAAAGAAAAAAAAAAATTGGTTTTTAATTGATATTCTTTCTTTTTTTTTTCCCTTAAATTTCAGCCTGGATTCGACTCCCCTTTTTCTGTTTTCCAACGTTCTGATTTTCGATTAGGGTTTAATTTGAGCTCTGTTTTTGGGGAATGCAGTTTTTGAGAGGAGATTTTGAGTGATTAGGGGTTTTTTTTGGGAGCAGCT